GGGGGTAGACTGAGGAGATGATACCTCCTGCATGCAGCAGACTGATCACTGGGGGAGGGGAGACTGAGGAAATGCTTCCCCCTGCCTGCAGCAGACTGATCATTGGGGGGGAGGGGAGACTGAGGAAATGCTTTCTCCTGCATGCATCAGACTGATCACTGGGGGAGGGGAGACTGAGGAAATGCTTTCTCCTGCCTGTGGCAGACTGATCGCTGGGGGAGGGGGGCTGAGGAAATGCTTCCTCCTGCCTGTGGCAGACTGATCGCTGGGGGGCGAGGGGGAGACTGAAGAGATGCTACCTCCTGCCTGCAGCAGACTGATGACATCACCTCAGCCTAGGCAAAGTCACTGACTGGAGCTCAGGGACAGGTTTTTTTAATGATAAAAGGCGGAGCTTTTCTGAACAATGATCCTGTTGCTGTATATTGTGACATGTCGGAAATATATTAATGCAGATTGATAATGTTACTGACAGGTCCTCTTGTAAGGGAACCCGTCCTCTGCCCATCAAGGGGAAATAAGGGGTTTGCTGAGTAGTGAATCTCTCCTGCTCCTGACAGGCCTTGATAGAGACTTCTGGGCAGGGAGAACATGGGACTCACTGATCCCACAATGAAGTTTCCCCCCTGACTGAGTACCCCCTCCCCAGCCCTGAGGGGTACAGATGGCCCTACTCCAACCCAACCAAGAACAGAAGGGGATCAGCAGAGGGATCCCATAAAGTCCTTATGTGCCTCAGACTTAGAGAACTATGGGGTTAAGGCTTTTCCCCATAGTTCTCCTTAGGGTAACGGGAGGACACAAACTAGCATCCTCCCGTCACCCTAAGCTCAGGATATAGGGAGCTACAGCTTGTTATATACAGAGATGCCGCAGCTGAAGCGGATCCCGACAATTATGCCGGGATCCGCCCAGCTGCGTGAGTGACAGCTGGCCCTGCCTATCTAGAGGCAGAGCCAGCTGTACCCGCCCCCGTCCGTTCGGCCAGTCAGCGCTGGATGATCGGAGCGAGGGGGAATCCAGCCCCTCCCCTGTCAGGGCGGAGAGCTGTGACAGGATCGAGAGGTGAGCGAACGCCGGTATGTATTCGCTCACCTCCCGATCTACTGAGCCGACCTGTGACAGTCTTATTGTCACAGGTCGGCTAGAACTATGAGGTGAGTGAAAAGCGCCCCCCTCATAGTTCTCCTTTAAAGAGACCCTGTCACTTTGCCCATTCAGGGCTAATCCAACCACCAACCCACTTATACCCACCTAACCCCCGCTCCCCCGGGTGGTAAACTATAAGTAAGCATTGGGTTGGAGCTTAAGCAGTTCTGATGACATCATCCAATGACAGTATTGGATAGGTTTGAGCTCAGCATCATGGGAGGAGGTCACATGCTCCCGCGTGTCCCCAATATCTGGATGTATAGACGGAGCAGAGAACCAGAGAACCTAGGTGAGTAACCAAAGTGAGTAGGGCCAGGGGGAGGGGGGGGGGGGGGATTAGGAGGTAGGCTTGCCTTGAACAGGTAAAGCGACATTCACATTGACTCCATTTCCCTGAACCCGAAACTAAAAGACCTGCTTCCAACCGAACCAAAAATGGACCGACCTAGTGGGAAATGTCCCATAATTGTGCAACGGATGAAACTCAACCACAATTTATAAACATGAGAGGTGACGAAAGACCGCGGCCAGGGGGGAAAGTGTAAATTCAGCATCTTTGTCCTTGGAGATCATTTCCTCATCTGCTGAGAGTTCTGCAGCAGACGGATCTCGTTGCAGAACTCAGATTGTGTCTGATGATAGAAATTGTTATTGTCGACCGCCAGATATTGTAACAATGTAACAAGTTCCTTTGCCTGTGGACAGGTATTACAGGTATATTGGTCTCCTAATGACCTTCTAATAAAGGGTGATTACCATCATCGGCTCTTCATATAAACGCAATATAAAGTATTATACATATAAAATATTTATTACAACCATGAAAAATGTTATTAAGGGAGAACTATGAGGGGGGTGATTTTCACTCAGCCTCATAGTTCTAGCCGACCTGTGACAATGAGACTGTCACAGGTCGGCTCAGTAGATCGGGAGGTGAGAGAACACATACCTGCGCTCGCTCACTTCTCAAACCTGTGCCGGCAGAGAGCCATGACAGGGGGAGGGGCTGGATTCCCCCTCCCCGCTCTGAACCTCCAGCGCTGACTGGCGGAACGGACGGGGGAGGGGGCGGGTATAGCTGCCTCTAGATAGGCAGAGAAAGCTGTCACTCACGCAGTTGGGCGGATCCCGGCACAATTGTCGGGATCCGTTCCGGCTGCGGCGTCTCAGTATATGATGAGCTACAGCTCGCGTTATACTGAGCTTTGGGTGACAGGAGGACGCTAGTTTGTGTCCTCCCTTTACCCTTAAGAGAACTATGGGGAAAAGCACCGAGCCCATAGTTCTCCTTTAAATAAAACGAAAGTAGACCGGCGTGGACCATTATTGCTTAATAGGATGTTCAATAACATTTTTTATGCGGCTCCTATCATTGTCCATATAGAACACTTTGTTCAAAGCCCACATTAAAAATCCTAAATATCCCAAAAACACAGAAAGGGGAAATGTCTTCCAATCAAATCAGTAGAGTACACGATAGGGGCTCTCCCGGAGAGAGACTGCCAAGAGGAGAAAGGAATAAGACTCCCTCCCCCCATTCCCAATATCAGCTCCTGGAAGACCTGCACCGTCATCTGTGGAGTGCAATAAATAAATAATATAAAAAGTGCCACGTGCAGGACATGACTGGCCTTGCGGCTCGCACAATAATTCCTCCAGACTAGCCATAAGGACTGCCTAAGAGGAGTGTGCAGGAAAAGCATTTAGGTGACATGGCCCTGCCCCAGGTGCCACACTGCGGGCTCCTGAATCCCACTGCGTTTCTCTGGCACCTGAATGCCAACCCTCAGGGGGCACATTACCGGGAGCTCCCTGTGCTTCCAGCCCCTAGCCAGACAAGGGCAGCCCCACTCTTACCAGAAGACATTAGCACTGGAGGGGCTCCTGCCGACAACTGGGGACAAGCCTGGTGCACAGGCCAGAAATTAGACATGTGCACGGCAAACCAATTCGTTTTCGGACGAAACAAATGAAGACGAAAAATATTTTCATTTGTTTTGTCAAAAGGAAACAAAATTTTATGTTGTTTCTGATTCGGAGGCAACGAGCCTCTGAATCCAAAACCGCACACCGAAACTGCGAGTCGTATCTGCCGGCGGCTTGCTCTGCTCATGCTCGCCGCCACCTTGGAGTGTATCTTGGTGTACACCGAGATGGCCGCGCCCGCATGTCCGAGCACGGCCACCTTGTGTACACCAAGATACTGTATACTCCAAGGTGGCGGCGCGCATGCGCAGAAGGCGCCGGCGGCCAATATGGCCACCGCATGTTCAGTGTGTGACGTCACCGTCATGTGACGCCGTGCGCTCCGCCTCCAAGATGACCAATTTTTGCATGCAATGTACAGGACGCCAGGAATGGGTCCCGGATGGACGTTATATATCCCTCCCTTGTTTAGGTGGTGGTCCCGTTAAGGTCACCTTGTATTCAGGGTTCTCGCCAAGCAGGGTGAGGGGTTCCGGGTCGGGCTTGTAAGGGAAACTGCTGGGCAGTCTTCCCAGAGTTGTTAAATATACACGGGGTCCCGGGAATCCGCAGGATCAGGGATATTTTTGGGTGGGACAGACCTTCCATCCCTGACTACAGCCAGTTCTGGTAATGAAAGGGTTAACCCACCTGCCAGAGGGTGTGTTAAAAAGGAACAGGAAGCCAGTCAGTGGTGTCTGTGAGGAGTGTTTGGAGCAGGACACATGGCTGTGTGTGTGTTAAGGTCCCCACACACCTTACGATAATCGCGGGAAAATCCCGCGATCGTACGATTATCGTAAGGTGTGTGGAAGCCGTGCGATCCCTACTACTGTAAGGTCGCACGACTTTAAACTTCCGAACATGTTTGAAAACCCACCGAGCTTCGTACGATGTTCGGCGGGTGTGTAGCATGTTCGTAAGATAAAAGCCGGACGGGCCGGTGTGCGCAAGCACACACTGCCCGTTCGGCATTGCGGTCATCGGAAGCCCGCCCCTCAGGGGGGCGTGGCTTGCGATCATCGCAAGTACGATCTGCCTATGCAAGATGGGCAGATCGTACGTTTTTTTAAGTACCTTACAACCATCGCAAGACAAAAGTCTTGCGATGGTTGTAAGGTGTGTGCCCGGCCTTAAGCTGTGGAATACCGAGACAGTGCTGGTGCACCTGCGTCCATATTGGAACCCTCTGCGAGCGGGCTGGGACTCTAACCCTGAAGCGGGTCACAGGCGCTGAGCCGAATCTTGTGTTTGCTGACGATAC